GGGGTACAGGGATTTGTTATCATCCACCGGCCTAGGATATTTTAACTTGATGTCCCGAAGTTCACAATTTTTCATTTCTAGTGCCTTTTTAGGCCTTTTATTTTTTTTTCTTCCTCATCTTGCAGGACTGATCGAAATAACAAATTAATTTCCCTCTCCCCCCGAACTGCCTCACGCTCAGAAGTTAAACTGCAAGTGTTCTTTTTCTAATTGCTCCTGTAATGCCTTCATTGACTCTTGAAGAGGTCTTACCACTTCACCTGTAGATTTCTGAATAGCCTCTTTTTTTAGCTGGTCCTGCAAAGCTCTCATTGACTCTTGGAAAGATCTTATCACCTCACTTACAGATTTCTGAATAGCCAGTCTTTCCTTTAGCACTGTTTAAGGACAACACCTAAAACAGCACCCACAAAAAGTAGTCCTAAACCAAGGACAGACATCAGGAGGGAATAATCCCCATATAACTCACCCTGGGGTGTGTGGTGGTTTGAAACTCCCAAGAATCTAATTTTTAAGTTCAAGCCCCCCTCCCACAGTTTTCCTCTGTGAGAGGGTTTAGTGATGGTATGGACTTGATATCTTTTTCACCTCCTGTGGAGAAGTTTTCAGACAAAACACAACCATTCGTTATTGGGGGAAGGGGAAAATATTTACAAAGGTTTATTTACACCCACATATATATTTACATTAAATTAAATTTCTCCTTCCTTCTCATTCCTTTGGACTCAGTCATTAACCCAGCTCAGGTTAATGTGTTTCTCCCCCTTAACCCTCTGAGGGTCGACTTGACTCTCTCCTGGAAAAACCTTTCAACAGGTCCAGGTACCAGAGAACCTTTCAACAGGTCCAGGCCACACCAGGAAACCTTTCAACAGGTCCAGGCCACACCAGGAAACCTTTCAACAGGTCCAGGCCACACCAGGAAACCTTTCAGCAGGTCTGATGTGCCCGGGTCACACCGAGAGGAGAAAAATTCTTGCTGTAATTTTACAACGAGGGGACAGTCACCATTTGACTCACCCTCAGTATCAGTTTTGGACTACACCAATTACTCCACCACATCCAAAGGATCCTGTCCGTGATGCCAAAATTGTTATGACCCGCCCCAGAAAAAGGGGAGGGGGGTAACCCAGGTTCTTATCAATAATTCTCTTGGGGTGGATTGGAGTGAAACGACACTGAATAGAAAACATATATAGGTAGGTTTTATTTTAGCAATTTTGTTTTAACGGGTATGTTAGCATTTTGAGTGTTGTCATCTGTATTATCTATCATAGGGATAACCCCTGGGGGGGAAAATGCATAAGGGGAGAAAGGAAAGACAGGATAAGGGTAAGGGAAAGAAAAGTTGAGGGTGGAAAGATGTCTATAGGCACTGCCCACGGGGTCCAGAGATGGAACTTGATAGTTGCAGCTTCCATGTCTGTGAGTTGAAGTGGTGGCCTTGATCCATTGGGGGTGAAGGAGGAAAGCCCCCACACTCCAAGAAGTTATGAGTTATTATATCCATGGACAGTGTCCCAGGCCATGCCACGAGCCTCCAACATCTGTGTCAGATCTGTGTCCAGTTCTGGGCCCTCAGCTCAGGAAGGACATGGAGGGGCTGGAGCAGGTCCAGAGGAGAGCAACGAGGCTGGGGAAGGGACTGGAGCACAAGTGCTGGGAGGAGAGGCTGAGGGAGCTGGGGGGGCTCAGCCTGGAGAAGAGGAGGCTCAGGGGAGACCTCCTCACTCTCTGCAACTCCCTGACAGGAGGGGGGAGCCGGGGGGGGTTGGTCTCTTTTCCCAGGCAACCATCAGCAAGACAAGAGGGCTGGGTCTTCAGCTGTGCCAGGGGAGGGTTAGGGTGGATATTAGAAAGAATTTCTTTGCAGAGAGGGTGCTCAGCCATTGGAATGGGCTGCCCAGGGAAGGGGTGGATTCTCCATCCTGGAGGTGTTTAAGGACAGACTGGATGTGGCATCAGTGCCATGGGCTGGGAACCACGGCGGGGTTGGATCAAGGGTTGGACTTGATGATCTCTGAGGTCCCTTCCAACCCAGTTGATTCTGTGATTATGGTTCTATGATCTCCTGGGTCTGGGCTGAGTTTCCCTGAGGAGTCTGGCAAAAGGGTTTTTCCCACCTTTCAAGATTATCAGAGGGGCAGGGATGGGCTTTGATAGACCATCAGAGGTCTAATTCAAAAACCCTGCAGAAGGCTGCAAAAGTCCCTTGGCAATCCTAGAATGCATAAATTGGGAACCATTTCAGTCTCTGACAGCAGGTGGTGGTGGGACAGGGGGGGATTGGCCTAGAGCTGGAGCAGGGCAGGGTTGGGTTGGATATTAGGAATAAATTCTTCCCTGTGTGGATGGTGATGCTCCAGAACAGGTCACCCAGAGAGGCTGGAGAAGGGGCAGCGTGGCAGAAGGGATGGCTGGATTTTGGAGGAGCTGGGGAGGGAAGAGGGATCATAAAAGGCAGGATGTTGGGAGAGAACCGACAACTCCTGGCTCAAGAAGAGATCAGAGGTCTGTGAGATGCGTTCAGTGTAGTGATTTCATCAAACTCCTGCGCGTTCCGTGTTTGGTTTTCTTTTTTTTTTTTTTTTTTTTTAACTTTCATTGCTTTATTTTCATTTTCTGTTTTTCCTTTCTCCTCCCCCTCGTTATGGGGAACAAAACACTTGATTTGAAGGGAGGAGTCAGGCTCCCAGGGACTGGCTGATCCCAGTCTGCTGCGGGTGGGAAGGAACAACCTTTTTTTTTTTTTTCTTTGCCTTTGTTCACTTAAAGGAGTTCACTTGCAGGAGTTTTAATGGAAGGGAACTTAATGTCACATTATCCTGTTTTTAAGTTACTGCTTTTTTTAACTCATTTTTCAGTTTATTTGGTACTTTCTGTCTTCATGACGTGTCTTTTTGAGCATGTGTATATTTTTGTCAAGTATCTCTGGTCCCTCCTAATGGAAAGTTCTAGTGAAAGTAATACAACTAATATTTTTAAATGTTTATGGGGTAAGTAAATCATGTTTGCTGTTGAATTGATACATCTCCTTAAGTGTTTTAGCTGTAAGTCATCAGGATTTGCTTGTTACCTTTTATTTAGAAGTTTCTCACTTAAAGTAGGATTTAAGTTGGGTGGTCTGTGGGAAGAGTTGTTTCTGTGGGAAATGTTTCAGAAATAATTTTAGTTGAATGGCATTTAAAATTAGACCATTCAAGGAAAAAATAGGGTTGATTAATTTCTTCTTTTGATGGTGAGATGGTTTCTTTTACCTCCATGAAGATTTTGTTGTGAATGATAGATTGGTTCCTTATATATAATGAAGAAAAAAGTGATAAATCTCTATCTCTAAATGGTTAAATGATGATATGCTGGAAGTGTTTCCTGGCTTGCAAAAGGATTATTGTTTTCCATCTTTTAAATATCTCTATTATGAGGAATTTCTGGTGATTATTAGTGTAGCTCTGGAGTTTTAGTGTGTCTGAACTGTTTCAAGAGACACCTCTTGGAGAAACGGTTCACAAAATAAGTCTGGACATGTTCAGTCTTTGTGAGCCTTGAGTTTTGTTCTGATTCATTGAAATTTTATGTCATTAAATTGTTTTTAATGAGCAATGACTACTGGCACGAGGTATTTAAGTGTGCATACATTTGATTTCACCTGAGGAATGGTTATATGAGACATCCCTCTGGCTGGAGGGAGGTCCCTCAAATGGGTGGGTTTGTGCTTTTCCACGGTGTCTTCCAGGATTTTGTACCTGATGGTGTGAAATACTTCTCTGAGGATCATAAAATTAGCATTTTTTGAAGCGTGGACGGTCACTAAAACTTCATGTGTAAAATTAATAACTCCTTTTTTCACGTTGGAGTTTCTGGTAGTTTGGCAGAAGCCTAAGAATGAATCAAGCAAGATTTAAGGGTTTAGGGAGCTGCACCTCATTTTTGGGTTCCAGGGCTTGAAAAGCTTCAATCCAGACTGGTATGTGTGTGGCTGTGTCCAATATGAGGAATATATGAAATCGAAATTAAAACGAAATAAAATTTGGCTGTGTTAATTTAGCTACGTTAAGTGTGACTTTGCAAAATGTAAAACTGCTTAAAAGTTTCTGCCCAAATTGTGGGCAAATTAAGATAAAAATAGCTCAGGGAACAGGGGAGGTTTTTTTAGCACGTAGGGAGGGGTGGGGAACCTAAAACTGCTTGAAATGATAAAACTCCATAATGGTAAGAATAGGGGGTAAAACTAAGTGTCTATTTAGATAAGGCAGACTGCAAAAAAGAGAGTGTGTACAGATGATTTTAAACTTGCTACTTTCAAGCTGTGTAAAAAGCTGTGGTATTCCTTTGCTCAGTGGAGTGCACTGGGGGAAAACATTCCCTGACCATAATAAAAGTGCTTTTCAGATTGTTCAAAGGTTTCTTTTGAATCAGAACTGCACCTCGTTTTTGGGTTCCAGGGCTTGAAAAGCTTCAGTCCAGACTGCTGGCTGTGTGGCTGTGTATCCAATATGAGGAATATATGTGTGTGTTTTCCCACACATATATTGTTGGGACTTCAAAAATTGTTGAAAATGAAAAAACCTTCTTGCCTCAATCACGACTAAACGCGGGCACATCCAGTGCCTGAGGTGTGGGGCTGGAATTCCGTGGGAAAGAGTGGAGAGAGGATTTTGCAGTTGCTGGTGTGGCTTCCTGGGTGTGACCATCACAACAAAGAACTAAGCCCTGTTTTCTACCTTGTTGCTCAGGAACTGTTGGCTCAGGAACTGTTCAGTGGCAGCATTGAATCCCCGAAGCTGTGAAGTGTAAATTCGGTTTCCAGTCTTGTGTAAATTCGGTGTCAGGTCTTGGATGTGAAGTTCCAGGGTTGGAAATGGAGCTGCATCACGAGACCGACCCTTTCTTGTCCTTGGGATCCAGTATTTCCAAATATATTTCCATATATTTGCATTTCTGAGATTGGCAGGGGTTGGACTTTACTTCAGCTCTGGAGTTTTCAAGTTGCAAACTTCTTCCTGCAGAATTCCCCCCGTGGAACTTGAACTTCCAACAGGGAATCTGTTATTCCCTGCAAAAATTTTGATTTCTGACTAATAAGGACTAATATCAACTCTAGTTCTGTAGAACAGGCTGATTTCTGTAGCCTGGAGTTTAATAGTTATAATATAATATTGTGGAGTCAGATCAGATCTTGCAGAACTTCAAGATATGTTTGTTTGAAGTATCTTTCCCCTTTATGGGATTAATAAAATCCTGCACTGTTTAACAAAAATATCAAATTCATAGGATAATACTCAGGGGTGGCTTTTTGAAAAACTTGTTGGTTGTCTCAGTTTTCGATATTGTAAATTTTTAACATCTGTTTATAAAGGAAAATGTGAGTTCCAAGTGCTTTTTTTTTTTTTTAATATATTTCAAGTGATGATCATCTTGTTTAAAATCCTTTTTTCTCGTTACAGACCAAAGTCATCAAAACAAACGAAAGCAAAAACCCAAACCTGGTGACTCTGAAAAAATGAGGTAAAAAAATACTATTTATTTTGAAATTTATGATTACTTTGAGTTATTTTCTGCAGCACTTAGAAAGGACTTAATGTCCCTTGGACTTGCTGCTTTTTCTGTGTTTTTTTACATACTGGTAGCTGGGTGAAGTTCCCAAAATTCCAGTTTTCACAAAGAACCAGAGTTATAACTTGAAAATTAAATATTTTCCCTAGCTGAGTTGAATTTTAGTCAATGAATGACTTTTACTTAGTCTTTAAGTTGTTTGCAACTTGAATTTTTCACTTAATTCAATAATTTCCCTTAAATCAATATCTAATTTCAAGCACATAAATACCCCTTGTAGGACATGCTGAATGTAAATGAGTGTGTTTGGTGGGTTAGGGCCAAAATTAAATTAGTTGAGATAAAAAGCACTATAGATTTTTATGGGTAAAATTTATGCTTCCACCTGTTAGGAAATTTAAAACAGAATTTTTAGCAAAAGAAATCCGTATTTCCAGTGATACTGGGGCCAAGGGGGAGCTGTGAGTGCACTTTCTTTTTATTTCACTTATCTGGATTTCTCCTTTCACTTGAAGGGGGGGAAATGTTATAATTTATTTTGGAACAAATCCTTCTTAAAGCAGCTGAACCATCTCCAAAATTGCTTCTCTCGTGGGGAAGATGAGCAGACCTGTAAAAATCACGCTGTTGCTTGAAAATAAGTTTATATTTAAAGGATATTTATAACCTCTTGATGCCATTGTCCTGTTTTTTTGTAGGGATCACCTTGATTTGAAGAGAGAGTCTAAAGCCATGGAAGATAAAGGCCTCTGTGCTGTGCCACAGGTAACTGGAAATTCAGTGGGATATGGCCTTAAATGTGAATTATTTGGTGCCTTTTAGTAACACTGTGCAAAATCTTGGTTTGTTCCTAAATTTAAGACTTTATGCTGAGCATGACTTTGATCAGGAGGCAAAAATTCTGTGGTTACACTGATTTATTGCTGTCTTGTTGCTTCTCCTCCTGTAATTAGTGTAACAAAACTCAGTCTAGTCGTAGACTAAGCTAAACCCATGAGTTTACAGCTCCCCTGTATGTTAATTTGTAAGAAAAAGGACAAAAATTACTGGGAATCCCTCAGGGATTTATGATACCCCTCCCAAAGCTCTGACTGAAAACAGGTTTTCTTGTGTTTGATAAATATGTTTGGAAATAACCATGGAACATTTTGTTGGGTGGCTGCTTGAAACACGGTGCAATTCATATTTTGGGTGAGAATTTTCCTCCTCTGGTCCCTCCAGCTGCCAAAATTATCGGAAGGAAATCGTGGGAATGCACATAATTAATCATTTGATCTCTGTTAGTTTTGGGGATGCAGACACCAAAAATCTCTACTCTGATTAATTACCTGACAGGACAAAACTGAATTCAGGAGAAGGTTCAAGTTCTACCTGCACTAAGACCTTTTATTTCCTTCAAAATACCTATTTTTGTTTTGCCAATGCATTACAAGTATCAAAAGGAGTGTTTTAATTGGCTTAATCAGCTTCTAATGTGGTGTAGCTTAACATCAAATTAATATAATTTGTCCTGTTTTATGACTACATGCTCTTAACAGCATTAACTCAGTAGTTCTAGGAAATTAAAATAAGTGTTAATTATTTAGTGTCCCTGCTGGAAATCCCTGCAGACTCCAGGAAATATCAATAGTGAAAACAAAATAACAAAATCACTCTGAAACCTTCTAGCAATGAACAAATTAACTGAGCTGGACAGAAAGTGTAGCAGAAGGAAAACAGTTCTCAGGTTTTCCAAAGACATTTGTGCACAAAATGGAGTTGTAAAAGTGAGGAAAAAGCAGAAGTCTGGGTTGTGGTTTTGGGGTTCTTTTAATGTGTAAGCAAAATTAAAACTTGAAGCTTTGTGGAGAGAAAAAGGATCTAAAGTTAGAAGAAAAACTGTTTGTTTGGTTTTTTTTTTTTATTTTTTATGGGATTAGCAGCAGTAGGTCCGTGGAAATCTAGAGATTTTAAGTAAAATTAAATATTTTGTAAAGACAGTGCTCCAACAGTGGAATTGTGGTAAAACTGTAGGAAGTGGAGACTTTACAGTTGTCTCTTGGATAAGTATTTTAGCAAATTGCTTGCTCTGACAAAAGAAAAAAAAAAAGGGAAAATACTGTTTTCCTTTGGACTTACTGCCTCCCTAAATATTGCAGATGGATTTCAATACAGAAGATGTAAAAAACCCCAGGAACAAGGGATTTACAGCCTCCCTGGAGGAGTGTCCCAGTGATAAACCCACCCTTCTACCCACGTTGAGAGCTTTAGGTGCTGCAGAACGTGAGGTAAACTGGGAGAAATGATAATAATTGACCAGAATAATTCCAATTTGTGCATTCAACAGCCCGTTTTCCCTCTCTTCTCCCCACCAAAATAGTGTTTGTTGTCGAGCTGTTGGCTTGCAGGGCCAAGTGTTTCGCTGAGAATTGTGCCAAGGAGCTTAGAAATGAGAATAGAATTAAAATGAGAACAGAATTAAAATGAAAAGAAAATTAAAATGAAAACAGTATTAAAATGAAAACAGTATTAAAATGAAAACAGTATTAAAATGAAAACAGTATTAAAATGAAAACAGAGTAGCACAGGATGTATTTTTGGTGATCTTCAGCCTAAATGTGCATTTCTAAACACGACCTGAAAATATTTACTGACATAATGTGCTTTAAAAAGTTTAAAAAAAAAAGGAAAACGTGGTTTTCTTGTGGATTTACGTGGTTTTCTTGTGGTTTACTTGTGGATTACAGGTATTCCAGGTGGATTTTAATGCCTTGCCAGAAGGTGTTACATCCCTTGCTCGTGATGGTTGCACAGCCCTGATGGACCAGCAGTGTCACAGTGCAGAACAAGCCTTCTCACAGCTGCTCAGCATTCTGTATACTTCAGAATTTAGGGTAAACTCAGAGGAATAACTTGGGTTTTTTAGAGTAATTTTATTTAGAGTAATTATTTTAAGTAAGTTGAGATATTCAACACCCTGCTTCATTCTTTCCTTCCCTCAAAATTGTCTTTATTATTGAGTAGACCCCCCAGTAATTACATAGGATGTGTTTTTGATAATGTTCAACATAAGTGTGCATTTCTAGATGCAATGTAAAAAATACTTACCAAAATTGTATTTTTTTTTTAGAGTAATATAAAGTACATTGACCAAATACTGTGTTTTATAAAAATCCACAGTCTGTTGGTGGTTGGACTTGATGATCTTAAAGGTCTTTTCCAGCCTAAATAATTCTGTGATTGTCAGATTAACCTTTATCCTTAATGATGTAGGGTGAAAGTGATTTTTATTCTTCAAGCTAGATAACTCTTTGATGGCAAATACTGTGAAATTTGGTGTGTGTGTATCTATATCCA